TGTAATTTGTCCATACGTTCAAACACTGCCTTATGATTGCCTCATAATTCTTCCAGCATCACCCAGGATAAGTTCCGGCAGTGAAAGTGAACTTAGTAGCCACTGAACTAAAAACATGTTTCTTAAATTACTAGCATCCTAAATCAATTCACCCAAAAGAAAAAAAAGCACCTGGATTTGTTGATCAAAAATAACTATTTCTTAAATAGAACGTTCTTATTTGCATGAAATCAGAATGACTTGTTTGTTCCCTTTGGAGCAGAATTACAAATTGCTACAAGATGCATTGAATTGGCCACTGGAAACGGATCATTCATAGGGACCTACTCAAATTGTAATTTTGCATGTTTTATGGAACCATAATTTGAGGAGGTTTCCATGAAATCACTTAACCCCCCCCCCCAAATAAACAAACAAAAAAAACAGACCCCAAACCCTTACTGAAAATAAAATTCTGGCTCCCCACTTGGGGAGCCCCCTCCTCCCTCTGCTGCTGATTGGCTGAGAGGGCTGCCCATCTTGCGACTCTGCTCCCTCTGCCAGTCAGTGGGTAGGGGTGGAACCGCATGTGTGGCAGCACTCTTGGCCAATCAGTGGCGAGGGGTGGGGCTGCCTGAAGGGTAGCTCTCTGCCAATCAGTGGCATGTGGGTGGGGGGAGGGGAGGGCTTGTTGCAAAAAATCATGAAAATGGCAGTGGCTACAGTGATTGGGCTGTGAAACGCCTGCCTGCCTCTGCAATTTCAGTAGGTTCCTAACTATTGGTCGCAGTATGTTTGCTCATGTTGGCATTAGATCTCTAGTGGTTTCTTAGTCTGTGATTATCAGTCTTGTCCCAAGTAATTTGCTGACTGATTTTTTTTTTTTTTTTTTTCTTCACTCCATTCATAAAATAGTGCTGAATAACTACTTCTCTTTATGGAAGGTCTTCTATCATAGACTGTGGTTAAATTAATTCTTTGCATCAGTTTTACTGCAGAAAACGTTGGGAGAACTCCCACACCAGATCAGTCCTTCCTAATAGGTAGGTCTGTAGAGCTGGATTGCATTGAAGTGACAACAAAAGAAGTTTTAAAACAGATCAATAAAGTAAATACTAATAAGTTGCCAGGGCCACATGACATTCATGAAACTCAAAAGTGAAATGGCAGAATTGTTGGCAATAGCCTGTCACCTTTCATTAGAAACTACCTCTGTGCCAGAGGACTGGTAGGGTTACCAGTGTAATGCCTATTCTTAAAAAGGGCTCTAGAGTTATCCCAGGAACTACAGTTAGTTTCACTTCCATCCCTAGTAAGTTGGTGGACTCTATAATAAAGACTAAAATTGTCAGTCACATGGACAAACATGATCTGGTATAGAAGTTTGCCTGGGGCTTTTTTTTTTTTTTTAAGGGAAATCCTGCCTCACTAATCTGGTAGAGTTCTTTGAGGGTGTTAACATCGACCAGGGGCATCCAGTTAACGTAACACATTTGGGGTTTTGAAAAAGCTTTTGATAAGATTCCTCATTTAAAAAAAAAAAAACATGCCATGAGATTGGATGGGAGGTTCTTTCACGGGTCAAGAGCTGGTTAAAAGGTAGGAAGTAAAGGGTCAGGCTTAATGGTTGCTTTTCAGGATGGAGAGAGGTCAAAACAGGTGTTCTGCAGTGATCTTTGCTGGGGCCAGTTTTGCTTCAGCATTTTCATCAATAGTTTGGAAATGGGGTTGCACAGTGAAATCCAAATTTGCAGGTGATACCAAATTATTCAGGGTAGTCAAATCTCAAGCTGATGGAGAGGAGCTGCAGAAAGATCTCACCAAGCAAAGTAACTGGGCAAAAAAATAGCAGATGAACTTCAATATCAACAAATGCAAGGTAATTCACATACAGAAAAGCAGTCTCAAATATATGTACACAATACTGGGTTGTGAACTACCTGTTACGACTCAGGAAATAGACCTTGGAGTCATTGTAGATGGTTCTCTAAAACTACCAGCTGAATCTATAATGGTGACCAAAAAAGCCAATAAAAATGTTGGGCATCGTTAAGAAGGAAATTGAAAACAAAATGGAGAGTGTTGTTTTGCCACTGTATAAATCCATGGTGTGCCCATATCTTGAATATTGTATGCAGTTTTTGTCTCTTTCTCAGAAATCTAGTAATATTAGAAAAGGTACAGAGAAGGGCAAGGAAAATGATTAATGGAATGGGCGGTTGCCATACCAGGAGAGTCTTAAATTTGGAAAGGAGAAGGCCAAGGAAAGCTATGATAGAAATCTATGAAATCATGAAGGGTGTGGACAAAGTGAATAGGGAACTGTTATGCAGAAATCTAGAACTCTTGGTTCCAAAATGATACCTTTTATTAGACCAACTGAGAGATTTTTTTTATTTTTTTTATTTTTTTTTTGCAATCTTTTCCTGCAAGCTTTCGGGCTCATGCACCCATCATCAGGCTTAGGGAAAGTTCAAAATTGGTAAACAAAGAGTTCTAGATTTTTGTATTTCTTTTTGTCTCAGACCAGCACAGGTACCGCATACATCCTGGGGAACTGTTATGCACTAAGTCCCAGAATACTAGAACTGAAATTAGTTTAAAATTGACAAGCAAAAGGGCTTTTTTACACAGGGTATAGTTACTTGTGGAACTTGTGACCAGAGGAGGTTGTAGAGAGAGATGGTATAGCTGGGTTCAGAAAGGGACTAGACATTCATGGACGATAAATCCATTTTTAGCTATTAAACAGAACAGTTGGAGAGGTACCTTCTGGCATCTCTGAACCAACTTATGTGTACCAGGGAGGGCAGTGAACAGGGGATAGGTCACTTTAGATATACCTGGTTCTTCCTCTAAAGAATCCACTGTTGGAGACAGGATGATAGGCTAGGTGGACCATGGGTATCACCCAGAATGCACTTTATATTCTTATCTGTTGGGTACATCCTAATAGCTCATCTCTGTTAGTGGAAGGAAATGAGGACAGCTAACTCTGAATTGGTCATCTCATTATGTTATGCACTCACCAATCCAAAAGATGAAGTATCTTGCCTTTTCTTACAGGCGTAACATAGCAATCTTGTTTAATTGTCTAACTACATACAATACAGTGCTGTAATGTTCTCATTACAAGATGTTCTTGGAACTATTTTACAGGTAAGGAGCAAGTGATCAAACTTCTTGAGTTTTAGATGTTAACTTTTCTGATGCACGATATGGTTCTACACTTCATTCTAATGGAAACTGCCAGCATGAAAGAGCTAAGATGCAGAGTTGCACAAGACTTTTCTCTTTAAAATATTTTTGTAAGATGGAAACAAATATGCTTCAGTAAACTGACTCTTGAGCTGGGGAATGAATATGGTTATTCAACATTTCTATGACTCAATAGTTTGAATTGAGAGCAAGTATTTTAGCATCTCTTCTATGTATGCTGTTGTAGGTTCTACACCCGTTGGAAAGAGTGGGAGTCATGGTACTCTCAGAGCTTTGGTTTACATTTCTCTCTGCGAGAGGAACAGTGGCAGGAAGATTGGGCATTCATACTTTCTCTTGCTAGTCAGGTAAGAATGTCTCTTTAGAATCTTGCTTTGAAAAAAGAAAGGAATTCCACCGATTGGCAGCGTCTTTACTCCCAATATAGTTTTTATCAGCTCTTTTTTAAACTAGCAGTCTGAAAGGATAAATGCCTCCCACCATTGAGTTGTAAATTGTATTTGAAAATCAAATTTAAAAGTTCCGATCTAACCAGTGGTATAAAAGTTTTTGTTGAAATACTTGTTTTTGTTGCTGGTAGGCTTAAGCTTGTACAAAATTGTGCAGTGAATGAAAATTTCTGGCTTGTTCTGTTTAATACCTTACCTCCTTCCCCAGGTGCCTTCTCTCATGATTTTTGTTTTTAAATGCCTGAGTTTTAGAACTGAAGTGAAATTTTGCAGCTGAAAATCATCTCTTAGAATGGAATACTTATGCAGCTGGAGCTGTAGTTGCTGCTGTTGTATTGAAATGCAGTTTGTATTTTACAGTCACTTGTATTTTTAGGTTCCTCAAAGTGAACTATTCTATGAAACGCTTTTTTGATTTTGGAATCTGGATGCTGTTCACTATTTCAAGAGAGTTTTAGTTGGACTGAAAAAATGGGTTTTACAGAACTAATGCAGAAACTGCTTTATTAATAAGATAGCAGGAGCTAAAGTTATATCAAATATTTATTCCTAGTATTGTCTTGTTTCTCTTTTTTGGTACAGCCTGGAGCAAGTTTGGAGCAGACGCACATTTTTGTACTTGCACATATTCTTAGAAGACCAATTATAGTTTATGGAGTAAAATATTATAAGAGTTTCCGGGGTGAAACTTTAGGATATACACGTTTTCAAGGTAAGCTTCAACAGTTTTTATAATCTTTACTACTAAATGACTTTGTATAAAGTCCAATTTTTATATCTACCTGCTACCGATATCTTGTACCAAGCTTCTTTCAAATTCCTGTAAAATATCTCTTGTTTTTAAGCCTCTAGTTCTTAAATCTGTTTTTTCAACCAGTAGTTCAGTTGATATTGGGAGACTGATTATTAAAGCAACAAGATTTGCTGGCAGGAAGCACTCTGGCTATATCAAGAATGAAAGGATTAATGTTTTAAATGCCACTTAACACAATATTTATAGACTTGAGGATTGCATCCAACATATTAAGTATCACTATTACATCTTGGGAGCTAAAAGAAACAAGTAAATAATGAGGATGATAATAGCAGGCCTTTATGTGCAGGAGGAGGATGGCAATAACGAAGGTTTTGTCTGCAGTAGTTTTTCTGGACTGGTACAAGCCATTAATTGTAGGTGTAACATCAAGGAAAAAACAAGTGACCAACAAAACTGCCTGTCTGTGGTGCAGCTTATCTTGGTTTTAAACAGAGTAAAGTTGGTATTTTGTTTAATGAAATACATTGCCCTGCAATATAGTGTCTGTCAGAAACTACAGAACTGCTTTGTCAAATTTGGGTGTGTGGAACTGTAGCATTTCGGGTAATAGAAATCCATATATAAAAGGTTCTTATCTAAACACTCAGTTGCTTTTTGAAATGTAAGGTGTTTTTTTTAATTTAAAATTCTCAAATCGAGAGAAATAATTGTTTAAGTTACTAAATTATTTAATAAGATGTAACACTCCAGCAATTGTTTTATCTATCTTAAAACTGTTTTCTAACTTGAAGCATAATCAAAGTGAACAGAGAGAAATCTAAGGCAAGTGTTGAATTCTTTTGAACTTTTTTCTCAAATCTAGGGACCTTAAAAAAAACAAACTATAAAGAACATTCTGTAGTTAAATTATCTGGAATGTAGTTTTACTTTTGGTACAGTTCAGTTTTTATTTTGATGGTATATAGCATTTGGCAAAATGAGATCCTGGTCCTTGCTTGGGTCTAGTAAATGCCACAACATTACAGATAATTTTTATACACGGTGAATTAGAAATTCTATGCTGATAATTCCTGTATTTTTTTTAAATGCACTGAGAGTTTCAGTATATTTCATTAATTGGGAGAAAAGCATTCATTAGTTAAAGATGCATAATGTCTCAGCAAAGTGGGAGGCCTCAAATGAACTCTGGACTCCCACTTTTACTTCCCAGGCTTGTAAAAGACTAGAATTTACAAAGGTATCTGCTGGGTAGTTTTCAGGACTAAGGGGTATGTATGCCTTGTCACTCCACAGCGCCCCTTCAGGTGATTTGTGCTGCAGCCTGTAGGAACAGTTAAAGGAGTCATCCTCTGTCCTAGAGGTAAGGTGCCGTATTAAGAAAGGTAGAGAAGATGAAAGGGGAGATAGACTACAGAGGTGGAAATAAAGGAACTGTCAGTGTTTTACCATTCTTGTTCAAAAATTGGGCCTTACAGCTGGCATCTTGCTTTCAACAGTAGCCAGTTGCTTCTCAAACACTTAATTGCATGCTTTACAGAAATTATTTATCTAGAATTATGCTTATTTTAACTTACTAAGAAGTAATGTGCATACCTTGGTCAACTTTTTTATCTGATCTTTTTCCTGAGCTTTCTGGGCTAAAAGCCCAACCAACCTAGGATGAGTATAAAGATGTTACCTTGTTTAAGTGACCAGTTCATTCTTGGTTGGGCTGGCATTTATTGATATCCAGAGATGGGCCTTTTGCTTTGCAAGCCAAATATGTTTGAGCAATTGCATGTATCCTAGATGCTAACGTTTTAGTAGATGTATGTCTTTGGAATAAAAATTAGACAGGAATGTTAGGAGGGGGTGAAGGGTGCACTGGTGTCATCTTTGCTGCTGTTTCTCTAATAATCCCAAATAGCATGCATAAAGATAAATTAAAGTAGATCAAGACTATTCGTTTTCACTGTAAACTTAAAGCATCTCTACAAGGTAGGGTGTTCAAAGGTTCCAGGATTAGATTATGGTCTGTATATGACCTAGAGACTTTCCTGTGACATTCCTAGACACTTTTTTTTTAGTGACTTCCCCAAAACTGTGAACCTTTATTTTTTGTTTTTGTTTTGTTTTTCCCTTGGGTTTTTATTAGGTTTCCAGAAACCTTTCTAAATTTTATTCTCTTGAGACAAGAGAACTTTTTTTTATTTGGATAGTGAAATTTTAATTTTTTTATCTCCTTTATAAAGAATCTGTGCCTTGGCAAGTATATTTCCATGATGACTTTTTTCAAGGGTAGTTTAGAATAGTCAGGCTGGTTAATAGTGCGAGAGAGGAAAGAAGAAATGCTGGAATCCAGTGAGCTGTTACTGCCAGAGACTATTCATTCTTTGCTTTAGACTGACAGGTCTTTATATCTGGGGGTCTCAGTGCAGTTTGCAGACATGGAGACATTTTACTCTACAGACAAACTGCAGCTGGCACATTTTGACTTTTTCTCTAGGTCAAAGAAATGGCCTAGAAGAGAGCTTGTGTTGTCTGTCTTCTCTTGTCCACTGTTTCTGCTATAATTACTGTCTCCAAAAACATCTGGTTGATGGTCCTTTCATTGATAAAAGTGAACTGACCCTTTATTGCTTCCTTACACATACAGGATGGGCAGTGATGATAGCATTTTTCTAAATCTTATACACACCCAGTTACAGCATTAATTTCACGATGTGGTGGGAGGTTTTAAAACAAAAGGAAACAACGAGGCACATTCTGAAATTCCTTGTCTTGAACGTGAAGCTTAGATGGTAAATCCTAGCTTGATTTATGTTCTCTTGTGACTTCTCTTGCTTAATACATTGAGACAAACTGTTCCCATGCAATCTATATAATTGGATCCATTTAATAAATCTTAAAAATGTAGTAATTCTTGCTAATATGAACTTAGCATCTCTGAGTACTCAAATTGGCATTATCTGAATAAGGAAATTCCATCAGTACTTGTAAACACTGAAGCTGAGATGTACACGCACTTCAGTTGTTCTCTGCTGCTTAGCAAAATAATTCCATTGTTTTATGCGGGGAAGCTTTAGTCAAGTGTAGATGTAACCATAGAAGCCAAAATTAGTAATTATATCTTGTAAAGTTTTACACTTAGTGTTTTTAATTACTGTTGTAACTCCTGCTGTTTCAGGTGTTTAACACTATCTTCCTAAGATATACTATAAGTTTCACATGCTTATATGGATCCAAGCAGCTCCCAAATACCCAACCTTGACAGGTACATTTGCAACCACTACCACAGATCATGCAAATCTCAGACTGGACTATTTGGTCATGTGAGATGCAGCAAACCATCTATGCCATAGGCTGCAGTATCCATGATCTCTCGCAGACTAAAGGATGCCAATTTAAAAAAAAAAAAAAGTCATGGACCCATCCTTATCTTGTCAGTCGCAACTGCTGCAGCTGCTTAATGTTGTGTTTCACTGAAACTGCTCCCTTAATCCTTTCCATTTCCCACCCCTTCTCTCTCCCTAAAACCCACATGAAAACATGGGGCCCCTGACGGATGTAACACTTAAGATGTGATTAACTGGTTAATTGCATCTTAAGTAGTGACCTGGCCACTTGCTCATTCAGTTGATGGTGTGATAAAATGAGGAATAAACCACAAAGTTATTACACAAAATATTTAGAAGAACTTTTTGTGGCTGATTCCTATCATGCCTTTAACTGACTGTGGCCAGTGCACCCAGTCTCTGAAAGTACGCTGGACTCTTTCAAGACTGGTGCGTACCAGTGGCTGGGACTAATCGCTAGGGGCTCCCAGTCATGGGAGCACACCATGCTCCCCTGTGTTTGGAAGCCCACATTAGGTAATAGGAGCATCTAGTCTGCATGGGAGCTCCATGTGTGCTCCTGCAGCTGGGAGCTTTGAACAGCTGATTGGGGCTCCCAGTGGAGGGGACCCGGGGAACCAAGCTTGCTGCTCACTGGTGTGGGGGGAGCCTGAGATCAGATTCTCTCTGCACCAGCTTTTGGGTACCGTGGGCTTTCATGTTTTATCCTACAGTCATGCTTCCTGCCCTGCACATATGGCATGGCAGGAAGCACGATTGCTAGAATCTTGTATCGGATCCCATTGCGCCTTTAAATGAACATCTGTCAGGAGCCTTAGAATGGTAGGAGCGGGGAGCAGAGAATCCTTGCAGTATTTTGGCTCTGGCTCCAAGGTTCCTTCTTACTTTCGATGTGTTTTGCAATAGAAATTCTGTGATTGTAGCACTAGTTGGCAGCTGCTGTTTAAAGCATTTCAACCTATGAATCTAAAACTGCTATTTTTTTTTTTTTTTACTTTCTTGAGGTCTAATTTTTAAGAAACAGTTTAATCTCCTCCATGGTGTTTTAACAAACTTGACATGCCTGGCCATCTGTAAGTATATGGATAGTTGTTTCCTTTTGTGAAAGATGGGAGGGAAAAATGCTGACTTCAAAATATTAATGATCCATGCCAATCTCTCCAAGTATCTAGAATAAATGTATCAACTTACTATAAAAACATTTGTACCAAAACCTATGGTTGCACAGCATTAACAAAAGGCTACACATATAATACATAAGAGGGCTGCAGCAATACTGAGTTGGTCCTGGACAAGTCATAAAACAGTCTATTAGGAAAATAAGTCAATACAAACCATTCTTTTAAGTCTCTAGCTTTAATAACATCCCCACAACCTCCATCTTTACAGAATAATTATTTTTTATTGTAACAGGTTCCCAGTCAAGTTTTGACATTTCACTTTGTATATGTGCATTATCATATACAACTGTCTCAGTTTTAGAATTCTTTGAAAAATTGCATTTTTTTTTTTTTTAAAAGCAGTCCTTTTTAGATTGAGTCCAGGTTTTAATAAGAACCTGATTTGTTTCTAATTGGTATAATTACTGGAGAAGTGACTAGAAGTGCTCATAAGGGCAAA